ATGCTAATTAAATGGAAGAGGAGGAAGGAAGATAATGAAAAGGAAAGCACTTTGATTCCTATGTGCAATCAAGTATTCAGATTAATGATCTAAAATGAGATAAACTTTCTGGGCACATAAACTTTGACCCAGAGATGGGATTTGCATCTGTTCAAATTACACTGGAGAGCAGCGCATACTTATTACTGTCAGGGAGAAGCCTAACCCTTTCTTAACCTTTGGACGACTCTGCTATGCTTGTAAATATGTGTTGGAGGAAGAAACTTGTAAAATAAGCAAGTTGGGCAACTCTGCAAGAATTTTGCGAACTAAATAGAACCAGATAAGCTGGAAGAGTACGACATCTTTCCCAATGTGAAATGGACTTGCCTCTTCGCTTTCCCACACGATTTGTGAATTTACCCACAACTACCCGGACAGGGCACATGAACAAAGTAATTTATTACCTTCCTTTAGGTATTCGATGCAAACTTTATGATTCCACTCCTGGACGGCGGTAGTTGTTGTACGTGGTTTTATACTGCTCCTCCTGCTTTCTCCAAGCCCCAGAGGAAGAAGGAGGCGAAGAGATGAGAGATAATGACACCGTTACAAGAAGCGAAATTCTTGTGAAATGACCTTGTTGTTGTCTGTTGTTTCATCCCTGATTCATTTTCCAGACAAACGAACACTTCAACTTGTTCTGTCTCGGTTCACCTCATCCTCTTGCAGACTGAGATTAATTAAAACCTTAAATGAGTTAACTTTACTTTGTATATGTGCCCCAAGGAAGATCGAGTCAATCAGGATGACGACAACGAGTAAACCAGTATACATACTAGGCAGTCAGCCTCGTTGCTTTGCTACTGTTCTGCTACCAATGACAAAATTTACTCAGCTTTATTCCTATTCAGAATCCATGCTACAATTTAAGATGAATCAAATGTCGTGTCCCGGAGGATGCTTGGATCCTGTGTGAGACGAAAGTTAAGTTGATGAACACAAACTTCCGTCGTCCACCCATATGCTCATTCGTTCATTCGCTTAATTCTCCAAAGTGTATTGAATCTTCTGGCTCTTGTTTTTCGGATATGATGGCATGATTGGCTTCATCAAACCTAAATTGTAAAAGGTTCCCTTTCCCCAGTAAGTTGCGACTTGCTCGGAAAAACAAAAGTGGAATGATGCTACAGCAGGAATTGCATGGTTGAGCAATTTGTTGCATAAGTCATAAAGTGAAGGAAAAACTAATTAGCAAAGAACGCGTAACATGGGAAAAAGTTACTTGTTTGAAAATCTCTTGTGAAGAAGCTGATCAGCAAAAGCAACGTGTTCCTTATAATCATCCCACTTACATGCCGTCCATCAATGTAATGATATCAGAATCAATCAGCACCATAAGTTTACAAGTGCGAGAGAAGCATCAAACATAATTGTGCTCGTAATTGATTTACTTTGAAAGTATTGCCAAATCGTGTGTAAGGACTCTTCTTCTTTTTCTTCTGCTTCTTCTGATTTTTCTTCTTGTTCGCTTTCTCCCAAGAGCTGAGAGAGACCTCAAAGAGGGAGAAACAAACTTATTGAAGACTACAATTTATAGGACATAATTTTTTTTATTTTGTATAGACTTTGGTGAAAACGAAGTAGTTGGACAAGTGGAAGTTAAGTAAATTATACAAGGTTAAGACTTGAGAAAGGATGTAGCATGTGTTCTTTCTGTGAGTGTAAGGTGTTCCGGTGTCATTATGTACTACATGGCATTTGTCTCTTTACTTGGACATTTCCTGGAAGGAGAGACCAGATGAGGGAGCTTATGTGTAGTAGTTTTCCTTGCTGGCTTGTCAACTATAAAGCTGTTTTCATGTAATATCTGGAAATCAAATACAAATTAGTCCTCGGAGGATGTATGCCTGCTCAGAGCGAATACTCTTTGCGTATGTTGGAATTGAAAGCTCCTCATCCAGCTCATGGAGGACTTTGGGGTTGTCCAAATCTCCAGAGTGTGGTGAGCTCAGAAGGAAATTGCTTTCTTGTTCTCCTCTCCTTAGCTAAAGTGCTCTTGTAACTAGAGAAAGCTCGAAAGGGAAAAGAGGACTGTCTCTCGAGAGGAAATGGACAACAAGAAACACCTTAAATCCACTCTCCTTCCTCCGTCGGCCTTACCACCACCACCACATAATACACACCCACCAAAGCACATCGTTGGGAAGGATATGCACTCATATCCTGGGTTCACATGCACGTTTGGGCTTTCGTGCCAGGGGAGTAAGACAAGATGTAGTAAAGAGTTGAGAAATCGGTAGCTCCGTCCAACCCCTCGTCCATGCAGAGATTTACATATAATCATGCACGTAGTTCAGCTCCTACAATATTTAAATGGTTTGACAATTTATTGCGATAGCAAATACATTCCCCACGTTTCATCCCTAATTTACTGGTTGATTTTATCCTCGACAGGAAATCATGTCTTGTGTTGAGTAAATGTCACAGAGTATTAATGCTTAGAAATCGCGTAATTGCATTTTCTGCAAAGCTGAAGAATTTGTACATCATCAAGTCTGTAGCACGTGAAGAAAATCAAGTTACGGAAAACCCTGCCTGACTTGCCTCTTTAATTAGCCTTACATTCTCGGTAATCAGATTACGATTTCTTTACCGTCCTTCATTCCTTCTCCTCCTCTACTCACGGGACTGACAGAGGCTGGATAACTAGGTTGTTTTTACTTACCAAATTTTCCAGAGACGCCATGCGCGTTCACATTCTAGGAATTCGGATGATCGTTTTCAGAGTGATGAAGTTGTCACTGTTTGGTGATGAGGGTGAAAAAGCGACTCATTTTCAAACTCATCACTATCCAGTGTTCTGTTATGACGATGTGATATGATGGCGTGGTGCAAGTTTAGATTATTATATTCGTCTTGCCATTTCCGTGGTGGGAGGATTCCGCAGCCCTTGCATAAAATTATCATCAAAATTGCAAATGTCCCTTCATGCGCAGCGAAATATTACAACATACAAGAAATATTACAACATGAATTCGCTCCAATGTCGAATGCACAAAGTGATGCAATATGCATGCTCAGAACAGGAGTTGAATAAGTGATATTCAGTGCGATATTGGGCTGTGTTGTGGAATAGAAATGTGTACTTGGCGTCATAAAGCGGTAGGAATCAAGACTTTGGGAAGCATTTTAGGCGTGGATGAGAAGATTCTTGTCGAGCAGGGCGGAGAGATGTTGTGCGATAAAAACCAGAAATACGTGTGGTCGTAGATACGTATCTCGGTTGAAATATCCGTAGGAGGCTTTTTCCATTAAGGATTAACAGGAGAAAACACGGGGAAAGTATCTGTGCCGGGTTTTGACTTTTAGACAATGGTCACAAATACTTCTTGTCAGATAATTTGATTCAGTTGTTTGTTTGTTTGCATTTCAAAAGAAAAGTCTCACGGTCGTCATAAATATGTAGGCAGCAGCGTGTACCGCAATAAAATGCAATGTTCACACCTTTAAAAATTGATAGGATGCAGTAATGAATGTTGTATGAGGAGAAACACGTCCTAATTATTTGGTTCCTTTCAAAGTTAATGTGTGTGTCACCTCTGAAATAATTAGCACTACTTTCCTCCTCCTCGCCTTCTTTCCATAGGAGGAAAAACCGGTGATGAAACATCAGCAACAGGGACTGCCCTTGGAAAGAGGAGCTGCAACATAAGGGAGAGACAGACAAGCAGGAGACTGGAGCTGTCTCAAACCTAATTTAAATTTTGGACACTTTCGTCATTTCGTCTCCAAAAGTTTGTGAAAGCGACGGCATTACTTTCCGTCCTCCCTTTCGGTTGGCTAGCTAGCTGGCACCCCGGCGATGAAGCTAGTGATATTACCCACAAACATTTTTAAGAGTTTCCACCTTCCTTTTTCTCCAATTCCACCAACTCCCTCGAGTTTAATTCAGTTATTGAAGTTTGTGAAGTGAAGTTTGCACAACGTGTTTGGCAATTCATACCGTGGCGAAATAAATGCATGGACAGTTCTGGCAGTACACGTTCGTTGAGACGTGCATGCTGCTGCTGTTGCTACAAACAAGGCTTGCAGTAAAAGGGCACTTCCAGAATGATTGGATGTTGGTTTGGTTTCTGAAACTCTTTGTTGTTTGGTTGTTGGATTTCTAGGTCGGTCGTCGGTAGTTCCTTCCTGTTCTGTCCTCGTCCTTTGGCTTCTAGGGATAGCGGAGAGAAATGTTTCATGGGCCCCGACAGACGTGACATTGTTTTGCGGTTTACTGAGATTAGCTGCTGCACAAAGGCAGCTGCAGCGGAACAATGTTCGAGTTGGTTAAAAAGTTATAAAGTAGTTAGAATTTAGTTTGTTGTTAAATCAACTTTGGTGGATAGGTTTAATTATCACTGTTTTGTTGCATGTGAAATTTTGAAATGAAATGAATGAGGAACAAAAGGCAGTGAAGTAAAAGTCACAGTACGCGAAAAGCATAAATAGATCCCTTTGTTGATCAAGTTGATAAAGTTGACAAAGTTGATAAAGTTATGTATGTGTGTTAGTGGAGTGCAATGAATTCATTCTCCACTTTCACCTACATAGTTTTACATATATATGCGATACTATGTATACTTTCATCTGACTTATTTTACACTATGGAATAAATTTGTACGATTATACACATTGCTTTGCGAAATTAATTTAAATAAACGATGACGATACGGATGTGTTCAAATTAAATATGTTTCACATCACACTTGCCAAATAAGGCTTACCATATATTTTACAAGTACAATGGCTGAAATACATAATGAATTACTCGAGCACTTCACTTCATTGAAGTAACTTTAACATATTTTAGTGAAACTTTGACTCTACTTGTTCGCCACGAAACTTTTTCTTGTCCCAAAGACAAACCTTACCGTAGAAAGTAGTTTATGTAAGTTGGCTCCCTCCTCACCCGTAATGGATTTTGTTTTCTGTGAGAAGCATCCCAACTAATTGTGTATATTGTTTTTTCCCAGGTGAGCTTTGGTGGCGGAGGGGGCAGCAATGCCTGGGGCGGCGGAGGAGGACCTGGTGGTGCTGTGCCCTCTTCTTCCTCTGGGGGCCAACCCCACATGGCGTACCAAGGACCTCCCACTTACTACAATGGACACGGAGGGGCCCCCACCACCGGCGTGTTCGAGGACCCGACCGGAAAACCCGGCATGTTGGAGGTGGTAGCAGGGCTTTCCAGAGATTGCTTCATCATTCCACTCGCCTGTGTTGATCGGTTCCTTCCTGCTGGACTCACGGTCAGTGTAAACAAGGAATCTTTTCAATAAATCACCCTCCCAGCCACGCTAGACGTCAGATCAGAAACCAACTAACCATCCGACCTGAGCCCCACACCGCAATGTTCTTGTCCAGTCCTCGTAGTGGCAATAGTTTTCGTGGCGGTTGGGTTTTATAAGTCTGATTCAACTTCTTCATTCACGCATAAATCACGTCTATTTCCCAACTCCAACAGCGTTTAGAAATTTTACTGGTCAACGTTCGTTTTTGTCGAGACCCCGACGACCACACGACTTTTCCTCTTTCAAGGTCATGTTGTATCCATGCATAGTTCTTGGCTGTTTGCATAAGAACCCGAATTTTACAAAAAACCGCTGGCATTTTAATAAGAATCGGACCCTTTCCTTATCATACATACAAAAAGGCAATGATTTATTCATGGGCCGTATTTCGGGTGTCCTCCCTTGTCTCAGATGAAGGGAAATGGGGAAAGGCCGAAAAGCACATATCTACATGGCACTTACCTCATCATGCGGAGCGAACTATGGACTGTGAAAGAACTGTATGTTTAGAATGTGACCGACATTCTCGGGCGCAGTTGGTGGAAAATTCTTCTTGGTCATCCATTATATAGGCCGTTTTAGTATATGCCCTTATCGACAATAGGGGGTTCCATGTATTGGAAAATTGATCTAATAAACCTGTTACACCAAAAGGCTTTTAGCACGCGACAAAAATTTAGTCTATGTCACAAAATTAAGAAATTTTAGCCTCCGAAAGTCAATATATATCGATAAATACTTGTGTATTGCGATTTTATCAGATTTATTTAGTTAAAAAATGCCTCGCAAATTAGAATATCAAACTCGGTGCAAAAAAGCTGGACTATATTATTGATGCGATACCACAAGCTTAGAAACGCATTAGGAAAGTCTTTTTCTGGCAATTTAGGTCTCTTGCGTAGAATCATGAGCCTCAGCCAAACGGTTTCCGAACAATTTATCATACAATAAAAAAATGGGTGGTATATATCCTCTCAACTTTTTCCTCTACCCACCCACCATCCCAACTACTCATGCAATAATATGGCTATCCGGACTCTGCTGCACCGATGAACTGATGATTTTATTATTAACATCCCGTCCTCCACACAATTCTTCTTACAGTGCTTCTTTCTGTGCAGTTCTACCCAATGTCGTCGTAGATGGATGGATACAAAGTGTGCCAAAAATTTAGAGAGCAAACATCGAGACAGTAGAGAGAGAGTGAGGCCACCTCCCTTCGTTTCCGTTTTAATGGCAAAAAGAGACTTTCTACGATTTGGCTACTTTCTCCATCCAGGAGCAGTCTCCTGTTTCTTTTCATTCCTTCAATTTACGTGTTTTTTTTCAACCGTTTTCTCCTGTCTCGCTCGTTCCTTCCTTCGTTCGGTGGCAGGTTGAGCAGTTCCTTCCATCCACGAAAGTCTTCACTCCGTGGGGAGACGGGTAGAAGATCAAAACAATGAAATTCTAAAAAACCGTTCCTTCTCGTCCAGCCCTTGTCCAAGGAAAAGCTGTCATCAGTTGCATCACTCTCTCGCTTGTGTTCCCCCTCTCTCCGAAATTACGGTGAAATATACAAACTCCTTCCTTCACAATGTTCGCCATGAAAGCGTAAAAAGGGCCAAGAGGAGTCGAGCTGGTGGTGATGTGTCATTGTTTTATCGATGTGACGCCGAAGGTCGATCTGTGAAGAATCCCATTTCCTTTTCCCTTCGTCATATTATTCAACATCATGAATGCCGGGTTCCACTCGCTGTTTTAGACTAATTAAATAGCACTCATAGTAATTTTAGGGTATAGGCTTCTACGGTATTTGGTATGATGTGGGTACGCAATGAATATGAGATGATACATATTTTGATAGCGTACCCACGCAGTTTATATGACCATTTAAGCCTTTGATTTTCCATACACTTGCAATTTTTTTGATCTCTGATCCGGATTTTCCCCTCTTAACGGGGAAGAATAAGCACAAGAATCGTCATCGCATCATCATCCAACAGTTGGACTATTTGCTGGGTTATCAAGAAGGATGAAAGAGTAAGACGAGAGGAGAAGCCGACTCCATTTTCTGACATCTCACTCGCCTCGTACTTTTCCTCGTAGTTCTTGACATGGCCTAGAAATACAAGATGGAAGAGCGTAGCTTGGTGAGCAACGGAGCGGAGTGAGTATTGCTTTCAATCGGATTATGTGGGCGAAGAAATGTGAGGCCACTTTAAGATCGGGCTTAATTCTTCTTAAATCTGAAACCATTAAAGATTTACGTTACACACCCAGCTCATTCCTCGTCCTAGCCATCTTTCTGGCTCTATTATTCTCCTGTTATTCTCCTTCGCCTGGTCCCTTTGTCTCGGATCGTCATCCGACAAGGTAAAACACTGATGTACGTTCGAGAGAACAAGAGAGAGTCTCAAAAAGTGAGACAATCCATTCTTCCCGCACCACCACCAGGTTTGGACACGTTTCTCCAAGGTATTTGGGATGGAATGAGGAAAAAACGTGAAAATGAATTGCTTTCAGTCATTTTGAAAGTGAAGAATTTCTCATAATCAATCTCCGATAACACATGTACGGCAATGCTTGGGTGACGACGACAAGCGGTGTGCTAAGATTCTCGCTCAAGTTTTTATGTTGTATCGGTCTATAGATCACAAGCATGGTGACGACGACGCTATCTGCTTTCACCACACCAGGCAGGCACATACGTACGCCGTCTATCTTCGCCTTCACCGTCGTCTCCCTACCGTGTTTATGGGCTTCTCGGTCTTTCCCCGTAATATATTCACGTCATCAGGAATTGCGTATAAATTGCGAGGCAGCTAAAATTCAACCGTAAAACAATATTTTATGCCGTGAGCCACCCTTCGTCCGGTTTTATGCCTGGAGACGAGAGACCAGATACCTATACACACAATAGAGTAATTCGAGGACGGGCAGAGGTACGGATCAAAGAAAACTTTGTAATTCGATCCACGAATTCAACAATGAAAAGAGAAATTCACATGAACATTATTCTCCTGCAAAGTTTAGGAACGAGTCGAAATTTTCAAGTAGTTGAAATGAAACATAAATTTTTCGAATCCTTGATTTTTTTTAGTTTCTTGTCCGCGACTTTGTGTAGGTGTGACAATCTAATGTCACACCACTGCTTTGACATTGAAGTAACTGCTATTTTATTTCTCCAAGGCTTTGTAATTCTTTTTTTTACATTTATTGTTATTATCAAGAGAGAGAAAGGCCCGTCTTGCATCAACCTATGCAATCTCGCCGGTCTTTTGACAGAGATGGCAAACAAGGAGGTGGGAATAAAATGCAATTTTCTCTAAGATCATAAAAAGTGGCGTCGCTTTTGACTTTTATTTGCTGAACCAAAGCAACAAAAACAATCCGAGTAATCTTGTTTGCACATGAAGAATGATAAAAACAATAAATTTGTTACTTAAAGTGTGCTGATTTTTTAAGGAACAATAGCACACACGTTGTTCTCACTATTTTAGGAAACACCACTGTTTGGACAAGTCTCTTTCATCCTCCTACACAACCAATTGGTAAATGGAGAAATAAAGCAAAATCTGTTTTGGACATCAAGAGTTATTCATCCAATTTCATTCCGCAAATGTCCAATTTGCCGTTGGTAGAAGGGTTTCCCTCTCTCGCTCATTCTCTTTACAAAGTGAAAGAGAAAACATTTTTTGCAAATGTGTACTTACATCAGTGAGCTCAGAGGAGAGGACGTTGATGGTTGGTTAGACCCGTTGTCCTTGTTGTTGTGGAACTTACTTTACTTTCTTCCATTCACTTGGGTTCGTTAGAGGGCAAGAATTGCTTTGGCATCCCCAATTTGTCTTTCCAAGAAGAGGGTATTACTTGGATGTCCTTGTCAGTTTTCCAGCTGCTATTCAAATTTGATATGAGACGTGTAAACAGAACTCTTACCCAAGCCAGCGAGTCGTTAAGATGTTCGCCATCATTTTGTCGAGAGACATCCCCAGACATCTCTGTTAATAATGATTAAAAAACTTTTCAACGAGAGAATGCAGAGTAAAAAGTCGTTAATTTGCAAAATGTTGTCCGCATTTATGAAATACATCCATGTTTATGGCCATGATTGTGTAACTTTCAGCTTCCAGAACTGCAATCGAGGTCCAACAACAATTCCAGTTCTTCTTCAGGGGCTGGGACGCCGCTGAACGTACTCGAGGTGGCGGATCCCCAGTTGGCTGTGGTATGTAATTTAAGTCATATGTAATTTAAGTCGTTGTAAACCAATTACTTCATGAAATTCCTGGTAAATTATTTGATTTTTATAATTATTTTTTGAGAAAACGAATTGATGGAACAGCAGCACATAAAATAGACTATTTTAAATAGTAGGAATAGGACAATGCAAATAACCAATAATAATAAGAGCTTTTTCATTTCGAAATGGAACGGAATCCATACAAATTCCACATCAGGGGACATTAAATTTCGCATTTTGACAAGAAAATCAATACTACATCAAAGAAATCATAAAGTTTAAAATAAAAGCGAATTGACAGAGAAACCCGAGCGGATGAGTATGCGAATATTAAGTTACTACCGGCAGGCTGAGGACAAAAAGGAGTCGTGATTTCATGCTATTTCATTCCAATTAGGTCGTCCATTTAATGACCCCACTGATTCCGCTGAGCCAGCCCCTCGACTCCCCCACCAACCACCCCGAGCGGGTCCAACGCACCCTCGCCATGGAACTCATCGAACGAGCCAAGTTGGAGAGACAAGCCTCTCACGGACTTTTATTGGCCTCGATGGAAAACAGTTGTGAGTCTCTCTCTCTGCATCCATATATATTTTAATTTAATGTGTTTCATCCCATTACCTACATGCATGTTGTTTCGAAACAAACACACATTCACAATCCCACTCTTTGGGCTGTGGATGGAACGTACAAGTAGAAGTGGAGCGACGGTCATATAGATAAGCCGCACATGTAATATCCATGCCACGAGGAGTACATGGGCTCCTAAGCACAAGTTATCGCGAGCAGAACTAAAACTCGTTACAGTTCACATTTTCTCAATACGCACTCCAATCCCATCTTTCCTTTTTATGACAATTCACATCCGCGACTGATCATGTTTCTCATTCAGACTGAATAATCATTATGGATGTGCAGCTCATTTTATTTATTTCATGGTCGCACAAATTGGCTCCTTTTCGATGGCAATTTAACCGGGAGTGTGGTCCATTCTACGTAGATTATATTTTGCTTGAGCCAAGTTAAACGAAACGAAGGACTTACAAGGTGATCTTTTAGCATGAAGGATGACGCTCTTGGTTGTTCGGCTGCTTACTTATCTAACAAGATGAATCGGCTTCGGGAATGCAACTAGGCTTTAAAAAAATCATGGGACACACAATTCGCCTATCTGTGCATAGCTATCAGCTCTCGAGAGTTGGCTGGATCTGATTGGATTCTCAGTAATTTTTCTCCTCTTGCCATACTAAATAGGAGACAAATGCCGTTTGTCATTATTTAAAAAGATCTTGCATACAGCCAAGGTTCGTTCGTGCTGATGTCTACAACGATGTACTTCACCTCATTCAGGCCCATGTCGTCAAGCAGTATTTTTTAGCTACTTGTTTTGGGAAATGAAAAGTCTATGAAGTTCATTTCAAGTGCCGGAGGATGTAAGCGAAGAGGTACGTATGACGTGTGATACGAGGACGATGTTCCTCGACTCTCCGCATTCCTCTGTGAGACAAAGATATAGAAAATCAGATAAATTTGAGTTGGGCGACGAGGCCAGAATGAAAAGATTGCCGTATTCTCTTATTCAAACCCACATTTTCATGACATTTCGCCACTAGAATTAAATGACCATGACACGGGGGAGTAACATTACGAACGCTGTTGAATGAATGGGCTCGTCATTTATGCCGATGAGCCATGGATAACGGGACGATAGAGGTCAACTGAGACGCGTATGTAGGAGAGCACAGAGGGGACAAAGGGAATCAAGAAAGTCGTCGTAGTCGTCGTCGTCGTCAATTGTGCAGCAGCGGCCTTTCATGCTTAAAGTACTTGACTATACCGTCCTGCAGCTCATCTCCTTAATCGTCTCTATACTTTTGTACCACTCTCCGAGTCGTCTTGTCCTCAGGCGAATCCTGCTCCTGGAATCCCTGAACGTTTTTCCCTTCCCAAGTTGGTGATATCTTGGTCCACTTTAATTTAGTTGAACATTTGTCCTTACTGACTCCGGGCTCGAGAAGAATTAACCAAATGGGAAACCTCATTTCTCACAATAGAATTTGGAAATGGTCGACTTTTTCTTGCTTCAAGTATTCATTGTGCGTGCGTGTCTTACAACGGGTTTTTTTCTTCAAAATCTCTACAGATTAATTAACGCTGTCATAACTGCTATTCAAAATCATGAGAGAGAATTCTACTAGAAATTTCGAGAAGTTGGACTTGTAGGGAAGGAAATGTCTATTAATTTTTTCCTTACAAATTGGCACCAAGCAAATCCATATTTTCTCGGATTGGATATTTCCCAATGATCGGGAGAAAATATTACGGGTGGAATCCTTGTTTCGTGACTTGTATAATGAGCGACTCATATCAAGAATTATATCTGGCAGAGATAAGCTTGGCACCCGTCAGAGACGACAAAAATGCCAGCAGTGTTGAACGTGGGAATGATTTATACTCAGATATTGGCTTTCTCTCACGTATTTCGACTATGCCATATTTTACTTGACCCAAATGCTCTATGACAGTTTTTTAGTTAATAAATGTATCAGAAATTGCTGCGAGACATTGAAGAAATTTATGAAACGATGGTTCTGATTGATACCCAATTATAAGAACGGTTTATGTACGTTTTCACTTATTTAATCAGTTAATCCTAAGGACACGGTTGTCAAATGGGTAAGTTAGATGGGTGACCAAGGTCGTCATGTTGTGGCGTGTCAACGTCAGCCCAATCCCTATTATTTCATTCATTTTCATTTCAAAGTATCCGATACCCTGAAAACGAACTCGCTGAGATACAAAACAACAATTTTCATCCCAGTGGGGCTTTGATTCCTGCTGGCACTCAACAACAACGGCATACACCACTTTCCACCAGTGACGAAAGTATGAGAATAGATGCGAATTTGTGTATCAACCATAAGCAAATTCTGCCGTTCTCCGGGAGGAAAACGGGTATCCTTCACTGGATAGCTCTGCCTGGTGATAATGGTCGTGGTCGTGGTAGGGCGATACTGGTGGCGAAATCATATCCTGGAATAAGCTCCAAGAAATGTAAGGATGAAGGAAAGGAAGTTTATTTCATTGTGTAGTTTTCCACCAACCATGCCACTTCCCTCCGCATCACCTCGGATGGAACTCCGGATTTGCGGATTTGGTTTTTATTTTGTGGCCAAGACCAGCCTTCCATGGATTCAAATGAGAAACATACATTCTTACTTTTTGGGCATAACAAATAAGACATGGTTCTTGAATAAATGGAATATCCACCCAATGATTCATAATCCGCTGAGATGATGTCTGCGACACAATGTATGCATCCAACCATGTAAATTCGCTACATTTTATTCATTATTCAAGCATTTCTTAGTCCAGTTTTTCCTTCTTAACTTTTGTCACAAAACTATCCTCCTCTGGTTTTATAGAATATGTGTCGTTAGGTACGTAATGAGGTAAAAAGTTGACTTCTGGATAGAATCTCAAAACGCATGAACTGTAAAAAACCAAGGATATTTTTTGCCTGCTATTTACAGTCTCAAGTCATTGTGAGTAACTTCACATTTTTGGCGAACGACGTGCCATGGCATATGACACGGCTATTGTATGTAGTGACTGGTGAATATATGCGTAAATCCGGAAACGCTGCTGGTGCTTCTTATTCTTCTCTGGTTTGTTGCAAAGTGAAATGTTCTCGAGTTCTCACTTTTCACCACCACCCGTTATTTCTTCTGTCTCATTTCACACCCTTTCTTCTGTCTCGCTCAGAATGGAAAATTGGTGTTGGTTTCCCCTGAAATTTTAATGTAGGAATGAGATTATCGTGTCAACGAATTTCGTCTCGAGGAAATTTATTTATTCATCGAAAATCAGGTTTAATTCAACTGAAATATCCCTGCAGGGAGGGTGATGATGTGTCATTTTCTTGAGGTGAAGGTCAGGTCAGACGAGGTCAGAGAAGCAGCATAAATGGCGAAAGATATTGTGTTTCAAAGTGGCAACCCGTAGCTTCATCTATTCCATTTCGGAGATGAGGTTAGGCTTCAACGTCTGAAATTCCATTGAAACTCTTTCCAATTTCTATATTTTCGCTATCTTTTCTCCGTGTATCTGTGTCAGATATAGTGAAGAGGTTGTCGTTTAAACTTATTCTGCAATGTCATAAAATTGGACACGCAAAGGAAAACCGAGCCATTGCAAGGGAGATTGCGTAGCCTTGCTGTCTTTGCTTATCAGTGTCACATCTTCTTGTGTGGGAAGAAGTAGTAAATAGTAGTGGTAGTGATGACACCTTATTTATAGTTTTTTTGCCATGTCTGTGTGTTGGAGAAGTGAAATACGACATCTTTCTCAAAGATCGAAATAAATAAGGTCGCTGTTGTTGTTGTTGTTCAAAAGAAATGTCTGTATTTAATATGAAGATGCTGCAATGGTCTCGACCTCAATGGGCGAGTGTGTGAGTACTTACATAACTAATGCTCAAATCCTGGATGCAGTAGGAAAAGTCAATATTCTGAACATTAATCATGTGATTCCCATGAGTTGACACTCTCCTTGTGTACGAAAAGCGATTGAGTGAATCAGGTGATTTTTATCAGTGACTATTTAAAATAGATGAAGGGAAGGAATAAGAAATGCTTTCACTTCAATCGTTGCACTTGTTCTCTTTCTTGCTGTGAAATTGCTTGAAATTGAGTTTAGTTAGAAATCAGAGAGGGTGAGAAGGAGAGCAGGAGCATGAAAAGTGATGGTGTCATTCAAGGCCCAGTCCTTCTGTGGAAATTGACACGACATCATCCTTTAGGAAATGCCTCGTCAGCAAAAAAGGTACATACGACCAGTGAATTGGTTAGAATGTAGCTTTTATTTTCTCCAAACTCATGGACGGCTTGTTGTGTGAGACCGTATCCATTTTCAATTCTGGGAAAATTTATTGGAAATTGGCATCAGATTTCATTGAAACCTTAGCCATATTACACGAGTCCTAATTTCCAGCTAGTCCTTTGCTAATAATGAAGGTGATCACTTTTCCACTCTTCTTACTTACTTGGAAAGAGGATCTTTTTAAGGTAGAATTCCGAACTTTCTTGCTAGTCACTAAATTATTACTGAGCTGGATTGTGTATGCACATATGTTGCGACCAAGTTCAAATCCAAGCATTTTTACTGGAAAGATTCGACCAAAAATGTAGGCTAATGAAGAGGGAGGAATAATTAAAGTAGAATCTGTTACACGAGAGCGGATAGAGATTTGTGCACAAATTATTTTTTTAAACATCTTTGAACTTGTTGTTCCTCGGTCGTCCGTGTTGTGTATGTATTTCCGTGCTGACGAATTATTCTGGGCAACCCTGTTTTGCTCAGTCAAACAACTTGCATTACCTTTTGGTTGCTTTCTCCATCGGGGAAGAAAACTTTGTTGGACAGGGAAGGCGGAGATTCAAGATGGAGATCAAGTCTTGGAGGAAGTGACGGACTAATTTATGGATAAAGGAAAGAGATGACTTTCCAGGAAGTGCGGAGATAGAAGGATGAAAAGAAAACCAATACAACGAAGAAAGTTTAA